GTCTTCTTCCAGAGCCCTCGGGGCGGCGCCGGCGGCAGCCCAGGATCGAGCCGCAGCGCGGGCTCCTCCCGGGAGGACTCGGCGCCCGTAGCCCCAGCGGCCGCCGGCGGGCAGCTCCAGCAGCAGCAGCAGCAGCAGCGGCGCCACCAGCAGGGAAAAGTGACGGTGAAATATGATCGGAAAGAGCTACGGAAGCGGCTGGTGCTGGAGGAGTGGATCGTGGAGCAGTTGGGTCAGCTGTACGGCTGCGAGGTATCGGGGCGCGGAGCCGGGAGGGTCCGGGGCCTCCCTCGCCCCGCTCTCCCCACTCAGGGGTTCTCCGGGCGTCAGCTCCCCGAGACTCAAGTCTAGACCCCCGGGACCGAGCGCTGGGAGCGAGGCGCGGCGCACTCTCTCCCCGGGGTGCCCTCTCGCGCCGGGGCGCAGTGGTCAGGTCGCCCCTTCCTGAGTTCAGCTGCCGGGTGCTGGGAGAGCTGCGGGCCCCCTTGATGGCAGTGGGTAGGGACGGATCCTGCGAAGCGCATCGCTCTTCTTGGAGCCCCGGGAGCTTCTCGGCGCCAGCTGCGGCTAAAGGAAGAGGAGCTTGGAGGTGGCTCACCCCTGCTGTGCCCAAGCAGCGGTTGGGGGAAATGGCATTCATTACTGGGATCCTGGCAGCTCGGATTTGGGGGGAGGGGGAGGAGAGGGGACGTGAAAGCTGCCTAACCGAGAGGAGAGGTTGTGGAGATCTCAGAGGCTCCCTTGGTTCCTTAAATCTCCATTTGAATCGTGAGATGAGCGCCTTCTTTTTCCAGCCAGCCCCGACGCGTGCCCCCATAATTCGTCCTTGCATTACCCAAGCCTCACACGTTGCGCTTTGTTGAAAGCAGCTCGCTTCTTCACTTCCCTAGCCCAGTTACCCCCGCTGATGCGCGCAGAACCGGAGCCTGGGGAAGCCTCGAAGGCATCCAGGTGGAAGGAAGGTAGCCCTGCGGGTGGCGTGCGGGATGCACGGGGGCGGGGGGAGGGAGTGGTCTGCCAGCCCCAGGCTGAGCTCCAGGCTCCCCCGTCCGCCGCGACATCGTGCCTTTTCACAGTTAGAGGGCTCAGGATTGACACCAGTCTGACTAGCAGCGATGTGCGAAGAAATATTTAGAATATAAAAAAACGGAAACAAACCGTTGCCGTCGAGTCGATTCCGACTCATAGAGGCCCTGTGTTTAGAATAAGCGGTAACAAATGAAAGCTAGAAAAATGCTCTCCCATGGGAGACTTTAATAACAGCAATTCTGAATGAAGTGTTGGACTTCTCTTAAGGGCGTGCAATTTGGAAAGGTGGAAGCGTGGAGGTGATTATTAATGAAAGATTTGGCTTCTTGAAGTTAAAGCTGGATTTGTGTTCATCCAACTGTCATGCTCTTTCGCAGAAAATGAAAGCTAGATGAACGAACTGACTTTATCACTGGTTTTCCGTATTAAAGGGGTTATTTCTCTATTTCACACCTTTTATGGCCTATTGTGAATACATATTTTCTTGAACATTCTCATCACACAGGGAAACAGCATTCTCGTGATGGAATCCTGATGAATGATTATGATATAATGAAGCTTGACTGCATGACTGATGGGCTTGTACAAATATATTGTTTTCTCCAGCCCTGCTGTTATGAAAAAGCCAATTTAATTGTATGAATAAAAACTGGCAGAAATAGGAAATGTTTATGGGATTTTTAGAGGAAGTTGGTGAAACTCTGTAAAGAAACAATGTATTTGATTTAGGTGGGATGATGGTGGGGTGGATGGATGCACTCAGTCTTGCCTTCCTGGAATCCAATTAAGCGAGGTTCTGGTATTTATTTCACACCAGTGTTTATACTCCTTTTTGGGTTTGGAGAAGATTTGAGTTAATAGAAAAACTATTGTTGAGATTAATAATGCTTTAGCGCTGCTCATTTTCTGGAAGACTAATCGGTTGTAGTTTGGGAGACTAGGAGGAGTTCTAATCTCCCATCATGTTGGCAAATCATCTGTTCTGAAAATTCTTTAGAATAATTGGGAAAAATTGCATGTTGGAATTTTCACTATATTGAGCAGGTTATGTATGCATTTAAAAGGGTAAATATGACCTTGAAATTTTTCCTTGTCCTTTTTTTCATGGGCTTTAGACCTTCAACCCATAGCAAGCAGCTGGAGATTTGAAAGAGGGATTCATGGGGAAATAATGTAAGAAGTGCTCTATCGAATACTGCCTGCATGTCATTAGAGTGTGGCAAGTATTTCTCTTCCAGATGTTTGTTCTGTCATCTTAGGCTGAAAGAATAGAAATCATGGGGAAGATTGTCAGCAGATCATGAATATGTTGATATTAATCATTTCATTTAATAATAAAAACACATGGACTAGTAAGTAGCCAAATAAAGGATTTTCGTCTTCCATCTATTCTCCATTGATAGGGCTTAATTATTAGCTTTAGGTTCTCTTGTGTCTGTTAGTCTTTGCTTATAGCAAATCTAGAAGAAGACTTGCCTGGCTTGTAGCTCTGAACCTTGTGAATATGAAGATTAGGACATGTCTTCTTTACATTTAAAATTAGTAGTGCTTTTGAATGTTTGTCCTATGAAATTGACACAGAAAACTAATTTGCCAAACTTCAGACTGGCCAGAGGCCTGAGTTATCTGCTGAGTTAGGGTAGAAGATGAACACATATTTAATTTCAGAAGAACCTTGTACCAGGCAGGTCAGCTATTAGATGACTTGGCCTTTTCAGAATAGAAAATAACCATGTTTTGGAGTGACATAAAGCATGACATTTAAAATTAGAAGGGAGTGGGAAAGAAGAAATACACAGAACAATGTGGCTGTGGTCTCATCCAGAAGTCTGCAGTGGCTAACCAGTTTTGTATGGAAAATAATAATAGCCAACATTTGTGGAGCACCTATGGAGCATAGTTCTACCCTGACACACATGGGGTCTCCATGAGTGGGAGTTGACTCAATGTACCAGATGCTGCTCTAGGCGCTTTGTATGTACTAATTCATTTAGTCTTCACGACAACCCTGCGCGGAAGACGCTGTTACCATCCCTGTTTTACAGATGGGAAAACTGAGACACAGAGATCAAAAGGCTTTCCCAAGCTCTCATAGCGGGTGAGTGGCAGAGCAGGGGTATAAACCCAGGCTCTGAGTTCACGTTCTAACCACCAGGCCCATCTGTGATTTTGCAGGGTCTCTTGCAGGAAAACGCACGGAGCCCCACATAGCGTATGTTTGAATAGTTAAAAGTTATGAGTTAAGCTAACAAGTGTTTGTATAAAATTAGTTCTCTCCACTCACGTTCATAATCACCTGGAAGACTGGGTTTGGATTTAGAGTTCTCAGACTTCCCACAGTTCTGAGATGAAATGTATTTGGGAGAAACTGCCCCTGGCCCAGGATCCGCTTCCCTTTTCTTCCTACCCCTGGTGCAGTTCCAATTCATGAAGGGCATTGTGTTGAACACCCCAGCCTGCATGTCCAGTCTCGGACCACGTGCTCGGACTCAGCCTCTCGTTGTTCACGCTGGTGGCAAAGTGTCCCCTTGGGAGGACAAATGTGGGAGGAGCCTGTTCTTGCCCCGGAAGTGGCTTGGTATATGATCAGGGAATTCTGGGGTCTTAGGGACCCGGAAAGGAGCCCTGGTGGCACAATGGTTAAGCGCTTGGCTGTTAACCAAAAGGTTGGCAGTTTGAACCCACCAGCAGCTCTGCAGGTGACCTGGCAATCAGCTCCTGTAAAGATTATATCCTAGAATATCCTATGGGACAGTTCTACTATATCCTACAGGGTCTCTGTGAGTTGGAATTGACTTGACAGCATACAACAACAGTAACAAGGACCCAGAGTGTAGCCTAAAAGTAGGTGGAGGGACAGAGGTTCTGGATGCGCAGGTCAGCTTGTACCCAGGAACAATTAACTCCATGGTGGGTGGAGTGGGCCCAGGGCCATGGTCCTTCTTATCCAGTCTAAGAGTGTGATTGTTAAACGCCACATCATTCAACCTTTTGGATGAGTAGATAAATGTTTTTATTAGATTCTAAGATTGTAAATCCCTGAGTTGCGCAGAGCACTCAACTACTAGCCGAGAAGTTGACGGTTGGAACCCACCTAGAGGCACCTCTGAAGAAAGGCCTGGCTATCTGTTTCTGAAAGGTCACAGCCTTGAAATCCCTGTGGAGTACATTTCTACTTTGACACATGTAGGGTCGCCATGAGTCAGAATTGACTCAGTGGCATCTAACTAACAATAACAACAACAAAATGATTAATTATGTGTGTATAGTTATTTTCCATTCTTCTCATAGGAATGCTTGTATAGGTAGTTAAATTTTCAACTGGGAATTTGGATATAATGGACGTTGTTAGGTTAAATCTACAACCACATTTAAGGATTTCTGTTTTAGGACGTTTTCGTATCTTTTCCAACCCTGATGGTTTTTAAGAGCATTTGAAGTCTGGCATAATGTCTGCTTCTACAAGTACTGCCATGTGACTTACTGAGTAAGTCATATCAATTTTTCCAGCCTTGCCTGGCATCAAGATAACATTTATACTTCCAGTTTTGCGATTTGGTTTGCATTTGAACTGAAAGCTTGTTGCTAACCTCAGATCACTGAAATGCCAATAGCAACCTAGCCAGACTGGTGTGCCTAGGGTAATTGCTGGGTTATCCTGACTGTCCCTTTAGGAGATCTTTTGCTGTGCTTCAACAGTCTGCTTTTAAAAAAATGATTTCTGGCATATTACATCTTCTCACCCTTCCCTAACTTCCTATCATCCCCATCCTGTAAAATAGTTTTTCAGAGTTTTTGATGGTGACCCACAGAAAGAAATACTCTCTACTGTATGGCCTGATACATACACAGACACATGGATGCATGAAAACAGACATTCACAAAGCAGTACTTAATGTTACTATGTAGGCCAAAGAGAACATTATAAAAGTAATATAAAATATGGCTTCATTCATGTTTAAATACAACATTCTAGTCTATTTCATTTTCCAAGAATGCTGGTTGTGACCCTCTAAATTGATATCATATTAATGCATTGTGGCTACAGTTTTAAAAAAGTGCTGCTCCAGAAAGAGAAAAACCTGTACCTAAATAATGGAAATTGTTGCTATTTATTGAATGCTTTCTATGTTTTAGGCAAGTTTTATGTAATCCCAGTGACAGCCTCTGGTACTCCCGTTCTACAGATGTGGAAACTAAGGCAGAGAGAAGTCAAGATCCTG